TACAGTCTAAAACAGAGAAGAGAGAAAAATGAACATGTCATACATTTATTTTAGATTAAATGAAACGAAATAATTGGAATTTGTGGAATTCCAAATTGCACCACTGTAAATATTTTTCTTCAGGAACAACAATACCTGGATCTCTTCTTATAGTTAAAGAGCCAACTCAACATAGTTCTAAAAGATGTGATCGGCTTTGAAAAATATCATATATGTCTGCATGAAAAAACAAAATAAAAACTCTTGATAAATATGCATATTCATCGATATAGAGTGATACTTGTTGAACAATATTTTTCCCTGAAATATATACAGCTACTGAGATAAAAAAATACACTTCTGTGTACTATCGATGATGCTCTACAAGATGGTTATATTTATTTTACTCAATTTTGAAGTTCAACTTTGTCTACATAGGTGGACCGTTACGTGGACAGGTCGTTTTGCAATTATGAAATTTATTCAAATAATTTACGTCAAGTTGTTCGTAGTATTTTTATTAATTGTCCCTTTTGATATTGAATTCAGCTTCCAATACTTGCTCTACAGTTTTATCATTCATTTACCTCTTATTCTATTGATCAAATTATTAATCAGCATTGGTTTATACTGATTAATTTGATTTTTTTCCCAAAAAAACAAATTTATATCATTTAAATAAATCAATTATCATATTCAAATAGTATTGGCTGTATTATCAAATCCTTTAATATTATATTCAACAATATGTAGTAAATTTATATCATGTAAAATATAAAGTTACTTTACAAAAACAAACAGAACATTTTTCAAATCTTAACGAATCTTGATTTTCAATTGCCCAATACGTTTTTTCTTTCCACGAGATCTAAGAAAAAAATTAAATTAAAAAAAAAGAAAAGATAATGCTGTTCTACTACGTTTTCTTTTTTATCCATTGAGAACATTTTTTTTCAAGTGCATCATAAAACCGAGTTTCAGCGTTGTTTTTTTCTTTAATTAGATCATTTAATATTCGTTGCTGCTCGTCTATTCTTTTTGAGATTCCACCGATCGTTAAATCGTAATTCATTTTGATCTCTTTTAACAATTCACCGATCTCTAAAACAGAAAAACATGAAAAGCTGTGATTAATTATCTGCATTATTACCTGATGATGCATTAACGTTCTCAACGTTGTTTTCTTCTATATCACATGCTGTACCACCTGACAAGCCAGAAATATTGTTTTTACCAATTAAACCAGAAGGTGATTGATTTGGTTTTGAAAAATTATCATCCTTTGCATTTACAACATCATATGTTTCATGATTTGGTGATATAAAACGGTTTAGAATTTTTTCCACAAAATCACCTATTTGTTGATGCGCTGCTTCAAAACGATTACTATTTGTATCAAAACAATTATCAGCTGTTGTTAGATGCTCAGATACAACAATATTTTCGGTTTCTAAAAATTGAATCAGCTTTTTAGAATCAATTGAGCTGAAAACAATACGCTTGTTACCTTTTAAGGAAGCAGCTGTTTTATCAGTTTTTGATGAGGTACTATTACGTTCATCAGAAAAATGAAGTGCTTTATGACATTGTAAACCAAAATCAGTAGCATCAAATTCTATAAAAATCAATTGTTTTAAAATATTTAGATTCAAAATGTTATTAGTCGTACCTGTACGAGCAATTAATGCAGAATGAGGTGACACAAAACCAGATTCACCAGGTTTTGATAAACTATCATATGCATAAATGGGCGACACGAAATGATCTACAACTGGTTGTATAAGAACATTTGTTTCATCATGTGGTGCTCGAGAAATGTTACTAATTGTACTAGTGTAAATATTCGTTTCTGGATATTGTGATTCAGAAAGATTATTTTTATCTAAAAGAAAAATAGTTCGTTAGAATTTATTGATGTACAAACACTACCCTTGGTACCTTTAAAGCCACCAGTTGTTGTTTTTGTTTTTAATGAAGACGTCGTTGTACGTTTAAGTGAAGTATCAATTGCTTTTTGAGATTGTGCATCAATACTTTGTTCTATCAAATCATTTTTTTGAGAATGTGCTGCTTGAAAAAAATTACGATTACGATCGGTAAAAGTACTTGTTGTTGGAATTGGTGATAAAACAATATCATTAGTATCTAAAAAATATCAAGCCTTCAGAATTTATTATGATGAAAACGCTATGCTTCTCACTTTTAGAAGCACCGGCTATTGTATCACTTCCTGAAGAAGAAATGCTTCCAACTTCATCTGGAATACCGCGGAAAGGAAGAATGTGTTTTTTTTTTGAGAAGAATTTCGGTGTTTCTTCATTCTTTCTTTTCCGTTCGTTCAAGTTCAAACTACAAATTTAAAAAAGAGATGAAATGTTTCTGGCAACTAAAATAATTACCCATCTAAACTTAAATGTTTTGGGCTGAATAATAAGCATTGAGAAGCTAAAAAATAAATTCACGAGTTACTATCAACATGAAGGAATTTCGAAAGCAGTAAGGGGATCAAATCACTGCATACTTTTTTCAGAGGGTGATGATGCTTCAGATTTCATTGTATCAAGTGTTGAATCAATTGTCGAGGCTGTTTCTTGACTAAAATCTAATAAAACAAAGTAAGTTATTTTTATTTATTTCATGGATCTTTTACATCCTTCTTTGAAGTAGAATATGATTGCCAGTTGTGAATCATGTTGACATCGTCGATGCATCTCGAGATGATTTAAATGTGTTCGTAAAACTTTTGGCATTCGAGAATTTTCATTCACGAATATTACATCTAACTCTTTTGGTAATGCTTTTAAAATAGTTTTCTTCATCTAAGCAAATATGAATATAAGAAATGATATTATGAAAAGTTGTATTTATACTATCAGACGGAAGAAATTATATAAGAAAATTGTAGAGCAAAGTATAGCTACTTTTCTTTCCTTCCCTTTGTCTGTTCATTTAGCCAATAGTGAGTGCCAACCAACAAAATGATCCAATTTAAGTGATTGGATTGAAAGCGAGAAAGAATCGAAAAAATAATATTGGTAGAGGTGCTACTATACCATAATTTAAAACAAAATCGTTAACTTATTAAATTTAATATCGTATAGTTTATGTTTAAAATGCGATGAGTCATCGAGTCGACTACCAACAATGTTCGCATGTTTTCAACTCGATGAAAATAAAAATGGTTGAATCAAAACTTTCTCAAAAAGACACAATCTACTTTTTCTCGTCGTATTAAAAGAAAGGATCAATTTCTGATGTGCAGTAGTTTTCGAAATGCATTCAAAATTAGCGCCATGCTATTCAACAAATTTATTCATAAATCCAGCAGCGTCTTTTATCGGAAACTAAACCAAAGGTATTTGAAATCATAAAAATAAAATGGATTCTTGATAAAAGTTTAATTTAACCCAGGTCAATCCCTTCCAGTCGTACACGGCCGTAGTATTGTCAATTACCTCAAAAACCGGCAGCCGCGCACGGTAGTTGTTTAAAGCAATTGTAAACGACGCCTTACGACATATTACAACTGCCCTACACTATTGACGTATACGGTCGTCGTTTACGATTCCTAGCATAACCAAGGGAATAATAATATGAAGCAAATGACATTTTTCATGATGAAATGAACATAATCATGCATGCTTTTCATTTTCATCAATTAAAATGAAAATTTTCAATTTATCGAAATTAAAATGCGTTGTATCACTGGTAAAATTGTTTATTATCGTTATGAATGATTCATATTGCATGGAGAGATTCAATATGTATGCATATTTTAGATCGAGAAACTGTCAAATAAGGAAATGGGATTTATGTTGATTGTCTTTTTGTGAATACTTATTAGCTATATGAATATAAGAGTTCGAGAAAAGTGAAGTCTTAAGAGATCCCTGAGTTTAAACAATTTATGTTCAAAAGGAATTGTATTATGCATTTTCAATTGTCGAACTTTATCAAACATGCCACCTTGAAAAGAATCGTCAAGATCAACAAGATATTTGAAGTCATACGAGGGTGAATAAATATGGCATAGATCATCGCATGGAAATGATTGAGTACAAACATATGAAGCTACTTGTTGATATTCTCTTTCAATGAAACTACGTTGAATATATCTTCATTCGTTGGAAGTTCAAATCTAACTGTCTCAAACGAGGCCTTTGTCTTAATATAAAATGTAAATTTGTTTGATTTTGTCACATAAATCAAAAATTCAAAACGATTCATTGAAAAATCTTTGAAACAATTTTCGAGCATAATTCTGTCGGTATTTTAATATTAATATTAAGACTTATTATTCGTTTAGTAAGAAGATCACGAAGAATTAAATTATCTTTAATTTAAAAAAGAAGCCAAAGCTAATTAGGAAGTTTTAATTCTAATGAACAAAACCAAATACTATATCTATTAAATATTCTTCAACAGTGAGTTTATGTATTTGATCATGAATTCGAGAGAAGACTTTTTTTTACAAATTCTTGAAAGAACTTGAGGATTTATTAAAGAAGTTTGGTCGTACAACGAATTGATGTTCATCATTGTAGTCATATTAAGATCACGAATATAAAGAGAATCAGATACTAGTCGATTAAATCGACGATTCCCATCAACAACTCAATAAAAAAAGATCAACTATATTGAGTTTTTGAAAAATGAGAAATAAAATGTCATCGAGTATATCATAGAAGTCTATTCATAAATTCTCATGGATCTCATTGAATAAAATATTTATCATTGCAATCAATTTCTTTTTCTATTTTCTCGATCAAAATGTGGAAGAATGAGTAATTCAATTGAAATTCAATGGAAAGAATAGGAAAATCGTCTCCAATAATGGTTAAATCAATTCGATCGAATTAGTTTAACTGTCTTAACAATGAAATATCAACTTTTCTTCAATGATCTTGACATAGAAAACAAATCTAATCGAGGAAACAAAGATGATCAATGTCGTCTGTCTACTGTGAAACTTTTGAAAAGTAAAAGTCCAAAAGTAAAGGAAAATGAACGGTATCGAGATGTAGCAAAGTTATTTGAAGATTGTACAGGTCGACTTATAGATAATCAACATCCTATCGATGAAAATCCAATTCAACGGGAAGAATTTGCTCAGTTCTATCAACAGTAGTGTAACATTTTCGCAGAGATTTGAATTATGTTTACATCGATCAATATCTCAATGGATTTCTATCGCTCCTCAACATCAACAATTAATTGCTACATTTGCATTGCTTTGTCCCGTCATCATTATCGAGGATGATATTTATCAAGAAAAGAACAACGGACAGGGTTTTTTCAGTGTCAATATTAAATCTGCCAATTTTGCTATGCTTCAATATATCAATGCCATCGATGTTCACAAATATCTAACTTGGTCGGACTTTTTATCCTTTTCTTGTTGGGTAGAAACCTTAACTTCTTTAAAGCAAAAAATTACGAATACGTTGCTTAGGAGAAATATCTGAAGCCCAATAATAAATTAATTTCAATTCTATAACAAGAAAATAAATATTAGGAGCGACAGGATTTTGTTCATAATGACACTACAAGTATAAGACACTATTTTTATTTTTTTCTATTTCTTATACGAAGAAATTTTCTCAATACGTGGCTCTATGAATGTGAGATAGTTCGTTTACACTCGAACTGAAAGATAAAGCTTTTCGTTCGCATATAATTGACTTGCTATCAAGGGTGTGGGTGTGCGAGTAAGATTCTCTCTTGTTTCTCTACACACCCGCGCCCCACACCCGCACCCACACCCACACCCACACCCGAATTAATAATGAGAAATGCATTCTATATAATTTTTTTATTGATTTATGTGCTTGATTCGTAATCCTATACTCTTAATAAATATTTGGAAAAAAACGCCATTGTACAATATTAGTATATGCTTTCCAATCTGATCCAAATTTTCTTTGACAAACTTCATTATCTCTTCTTTCGCGATGCATAAAACAAACTGTTAAATATATAATATATAATATATGTATAGGGTATGAAATGATTAAATGAACATAATAAACACCAGCCAATACTTTGTAATATATCACCTGTTAAATTCATACGTTTTGCAATACCCCAACAGCCTGAATATAATATGTTTGGTCCACGTTTTGTTTGAATATATTTTGGTATATTACAACGATTCATACCAAAAAGTTGTTTAACAAAATAATTATGCCAAGATAGTCCCCAAACATATGATGAATCATAGCTAAAATGATGCTTTTGTAAGTTAGCAATTCGAAATAATAGGAAACCACTAATACATAAGCATAAGCAAAATACTAAATATGATGTTGATAATGTTTGTATAGATGGTGAATGTAAAGATAAATAATGGGTTTGAATCGAAAAAAAGAATGGTACAAATACAATATCGCCCTAAAATAATAAAACACTTTTATCTATAGCCTTCAGAACTCGAACATAGACGATTTATTTTCTTCTTACCCATATCATCATTAAACCGAATGTTTCTTCCATTATATCCCATATTGTTAATATAGCTTCTTCAAAATAGTAATAATCCGTTACAAATAATATTTGAAATATGGTAATTATGATAATAGATAATGAATAATGAATAATGACCATCAAAATTTTGTTTTTGTTTTTCAATAAAAGAAATATTCAATAAAATCCATAACATTAAACCCGGGCGGCCTTCGAAAAAAATTTTAAATCAAAATTATATAATCTTGGATTTCGGCTGTAACCCATCCAAAAAGCATACATAAAATTTTGACTAATAAATTGATAATTATTTTGTTGATAGGCTAATATCGATACAGCAATAGCAATAATAAATGATAATATATTCGATGCTACTAAAAGTAATGTAAAATGATCAGCTAAAAATGTTGAAGGTATCATATGATAATGATAACATATTAAATAATAAACAATAAATATTAATAAATATGCCATCGAACCATTTAGTTTATAATCTAGACGTTTAATACTACCATCTTGATTAACAGCAACAGGAGTACCTAATGCAATAGGACTTGGTAACATGATAGCTAATAAAGCTTGAAATAATAGATAGCAAATTAATATAAGTATTATATGATAATGGGTCGTAATTAATTGTATATGTATATCAATAATATAATGATAAAACTCAATAGTAAATGGATTTAATAATGTACCACTATCATGATTTTGTTTTAAGCAATATGATAAATAGAATAAAGATAATGGTAAACCCTGTAAAAACAAAGGAGATTAGTTTATTTACGTATATACCCAGGTGACCAAAAGACTAGTAAAAAGACTAGTCTTTTTTCTAGACAAGTCGGCCGTCCAGTCTAGTCTTTTTCTCAAAATGTCCTAGTACAGGACTAGTCTGAAATCTTGTATAGTCCATAGTGCCCGTCCGGACTATGAAAGTGACTGGAGTCATTCTATTTGTCATGCGTAGTCTTTTTCGAAAAAAAGTCTAGACATGCTGTACCATCCTGACGCCCGTCAAAAATA